GAGGAATATCCTTTGGTGCGGAAGCCACCTAAAGGTGTTCGCACAAACTCACGCGAAATCAAATCAACGAAAAGTGAAAAAGAAAAAAAATATCACCACAGATTTTATTTTTTTCTCCTGCAACAATTTTTCCACAAAATTTAAAATTCTGTCAATGTTTTCGACAATTTGATTTAGATTTTTAAGAAAAAACGTTTTTTTTCATTTATTCTAATTACACTTTTTATTTTCAATTATTGCAAAAAAATTTGTTCACTTCAATTCCATTTGACAAATTATCAATTAAAATTTAATAATATTATTTAACAGTTAAAATATTATTTTACGCTTATTATAATAATTGTTACTTTAGAGAAACGATACTTTTACCAAAAATATTAAATTGTTTATTGAATTAATACTAAATAATGTTAATAAAATATCAATTAAAAAAAAAATTGTAAAAATGAATTTTAAAATAATTTTCCGCCTTTAATTTAGAATATTGAACTTTAATAAATATGGAATTCCTGAAGTGTTTCAAAATTATAATAACACATGTAATTAATTAATATTATACCAACATGGATAAATTATACATGTTAACGAGTTTACCAGTTAAATAATATTTTAACAATTTCATAACATTTTAACAAGATTAAATTTCTAATAGTTACATTCTGACAGAAAAAAATAAATAAAAACGATTATTTTATTAATATATAAAGAATATATACATATATAAAGAAGCTAAAACATATTTTTTGCGCTTAAAGTGTAATTAGAATGATAATGAAAGTGGGTCAAAATATTATATGAAAAGAGGGAGAATTCTTATAGAATGATATCGGATAGATTATTGAAATCGACGTCAAGAAATTATGTGCAGGGAAAGTGAGAGTCTATTCATGTAGAAGAGAATCATTGTGAACGAGAAATGATAGTGTGTGTGTATGTGTGTTAGAAGGGGTATTGATATCGCGATTTGCATGTCGAGTTTCCTGCCTACATCAGAGTGCAGAAGCGATGGCGATGGCGATGTCTATAAGCTGATAGGTGCTAAGCTTGCTTTTGGAAAGCGGAAGTACGAATACGCCATGCTGTCAACAGCTTTATTGACAGACAGATCGATCAACACAAGCGCATGCTGTGAGACAAACACGGCAATCAGCCCACCGAAATGAGCATTTGCATTTTGTCACATCGTTAATTACTACAGCGAGATGTCCACGTCACTCGTAATTAACGTCATTTCGTCGTCGTCAACCCCCCAACGATGACGAATTACATACAATTTAAGTATAAATGCCAAATAAAACGCTTCCACATACTGTAATGACAAAAAAGTTCTCTTCAAAATTTTATATAATAATTAATAATAGAATAATATAATTAATTATAGAAAAAGGGCCCGAGAAATCGAATTTAGTATAAGAAAATTGACATCCTCAAATTAATTCTCTGAAAGCAAAAATTTAATTCATTCAAATAATCTCTTACATATTTGTATTTTAGAAAAAAAACACAAGTACATAAAAATTTTGAAACTGCCAATCAAACATTGAAATGGTAAAAAAAGTTTTTTTTTCAAAATACCGCTGACGGTATAACGGGCAAATCAGCTCTATGGGAAAATGGAAACCATATATATATATATATATATATATGCGATGGGGGTTTAGTATATAGATGTCAGACCCTGGGTTTCGTTTTAGCCGTTTTGCAAACTTGGTACTTTGCGTAAGACGCTGTCAGCGCAACAGGACACGTCTGACTCAGCACTATTTTCGCTAAGGATCAAAGATCCTTCGTTCTTCTCGTCGAAGAAGGGGACAAGTTCTTCTCAACCGTGAATAATAAAGAAACTACTTCACAACAACTAACTCCATAAACAAAAAATGTCAAAGAAAGAATTTATGTTATAAACAATATTTAAAAAAATTCCCATCTCAATGAAAAACAAAGCGAATTTCATTACATTTTATCAAATGAAAATTCTGCTATAATTGCAAAGGTTAAGTAAAAATTATTCTAAAATTAAATTCAAATTGGTTGAAAAGCAAATTCGGTTAAATTTTTAAATATAATTATATTCAGTTAAAAAAATTCTTAATATAATACTCATATACAAAGTTAGCGGCGTCGAGTTTTGAAAAGTTTTATAAAAAAAATATTCTCTGCCAAAAGTAATAAATTGTAAGTCCTAAGTAAAGATGATAAATTTATTCATAAATCTTGTTGCATTTGTATAGTATTCGAGGAAGAAGGGAGGGGGAAGAATGAAAAAGGGAAGGGTTTTCGGAAGTTCCTTGAAAAATGTCCCTGGTGTTCAACAAGGGTAAACTAGATTTTCACCGGGTCAGAAATGTGGATAAAAACATCGCAATTTTTTTCACTCCTACAAGACAGGAGGATGAGGGGGAGGAGTGTACAATTCGCAGCCATTGTCCGTTTCTAAATCCATGGGAATTCTTGGATGAGAGGGATTTTCTACTTCTCTCTCCCCCCTTTTTTATTAGCCCACCCCCTAAAAAGAGAGAGAGAGAGAGAAACGTTTCTCTTTTCTTTTTAGAATGCGCGCGTGGTTTCACCGGATAGAAATTAAATTTGTCTTCTGAACAACAATAAGAATTGGAGTCGAATCTTGGATATTAGCTAGCCAAGCGAGAAGACGATTTTCTATATTAGTCGAAATCCTCCTCCTTCTCTTTTGCTCATAAAGAAATGTCAGAAAAGCATCTCGAATTGCAAAAAAGAAATTCTCATTGTTCGTGATTTTGCTCGACAAAAGAGAAGGATAGAGCAACGTTGCTTTGCTTCTTCTTTTTTTTGAAAAGAATAGCGCGCGAGCAACTGAGGTTTTCTGAAATCACAAGATTTTTCCCATTCGCGGGATAGAGGGGGTAGGATTTTTGCCGACGAAAGCGGAAATGAGGAAGATCTGTTGCGGAAATTGAAGATAAATTCTAACTTGAGTAAAATAGCACTTTTCAGGATCTAGTTTCTTTTCTCTTATTAGATTTTCACAGAAAAGAGAAGAGGAAGTTTCGAATGTTTTAGAATTGCTTCTAGATTTTAATTGAATCAAATAATTTTCTATATATAAAGTAATTCTTGGACATAAACAAAATTTGCAATTTCACTCTAATTGGTAAATAGACAAACAAACTTTTTTCTTTATTAATTATAAAGTTTAAAAGAGGATTTTTAAAGAAAATTATTTTTATTTCATAATTCTAAAACGTGAGAATTATGAAGAAAATGAAAATTAGAGTAGAATTTTTATTTCAAGTTGAAGGCAGTAAAATGGCTATATACAAGGTCAGGAAGAATGGGTCTTTTCTGTTGAAAATCACATAAACCACGCGCAACACCGACAGTTTATAAACAAACACTGAGATAAAGCTCTTGTAAATATACACACAAACAGGGGAATATTCTTGGCACGCTTGGTCCAGACAAATATATATATATTGTGACTTTCGAATGCAGGCCAGGGTCAACCTCGATTCCCTGGCGTCACGTGACCAACGAACAATTCACTTTACGTAACTTGTTATAAACAAGAAAATCATAGCCATCAAAAACTCACCCCCGATTATATATTGATTACTTAAGATACAGCCATGTGATAAAATTCGATATTCCTGCTTCTCTCCATAAAACAAGCCTTTGATATTCCCCTCCTTAGTTACCTAGCGAACAACATAGGTAACTAGCGAACATAGGTAACTTTATTTTTACTGTACCATTTGTGATTATAATAAATCTATCTACCTAAAAAATAGCAAAAGGTAAACAATAAAATTGAATTAATTAATTCTATTGTTAATTTAATAATTTTCTATTTCCATAAAGTAATATTTTTTATTGAATAAATATTCACGCAGCAAACATAAATCTCAATTTTCAAAACGAAATTAAGATGCTTGAGATAATAATAATAATAAGAGCAGACGTTAGTGAAGATTTAACAACCTTGAAAAAAAGAAACTGGGAAAATAATCAGAACAAAATCCGCACACAAACAGTGAGTTCATAAAATTCTCCTCTCTTTGGCTCAAACCACTAACATTTGGATTTATCCTAACGGAGATAAGAGCAAGAGATGCGATCCACCCCAGCTTTTTGGATCAACGATCCAAAGCTTCCTAAATTACACTACTAGGATATTTCTTCCATCGTGAAAGCCTCTGATCGATCCTCATTTCCCCTGCGTACATCGAGAGAACCGATAGTTAATTATACAGTCGGTCCAGCGGCTTGTATGTACGAGCACAAGTGCTATACGAGAGAATGAGTGAATGAGAGAGAGGGGGGGGGGGGCAAATAAATAGTTGGAGGAATTGATCCTAAAGCAAAGAGAGTGAGTGAGACAGAGATAGAGAGAATTACGAAGAGAGGATAACGTATCCCGAATAAGCGGAGGATCGGACGCTGGATTGTGGTGGACATTGTGCCAGCTAATTGCTCATGGATTAAGGACTTATCGAATCGGTTTACAGGCAAAAGCGATCTCATCTAACACACAAACGTAAAACCTTTCCTTCTTGCTTCACTCATGATTCAAAATTTACCTCCTTTTTCCTCTCCTTCTCTTAGAAACATCTGGACGTACCATTTACTCAAGCATAATAATGAGAACAAGAGAAATTTTTTTAAACTAATCAACAAAATGGTGAACAAGTTTTTTTCACTCGTTTTATTCTAACCGGTATTCTTAATTTTTATCCAAAAAATACTATTTTTCATAAAAATTACCCAAAAAAAACTTTTGTCTTTAAAAAACACTCACACAAAAAAATAGAAACAAAAGTAAAAATTAAATATAAAATTAATTTCGTCGTGGTTTTATAATTTATCGGAATAAAAAATACATATTCTTGATATTTTTTTTTAATAGAGATACTCGCAAGTTTCCAAAAGAATTTCACTTTCAAGTTTGACACAAAGAAATGTATGTGACAGGGCATTGGAGTTTTTTTTATAACGTATTATAAAAAAGCAGCTTTGGAACTTACCTTGATACGTCTTCCTGAGATACGGCGCGGGGTGTTCCGGTTCCATGTAGAGCAAGCGAAGATGCATGACGCGATTCTTGCGAATACGCCAGTGAATTGTTCTCCAACGCCGAGACAGAACCATTTTGTTTTCCTTCAAAAAAAAGGAAAAAAGTAAATAAATAAATAAAAAATGGAAAGATTAATTTAAAAATAAAAGAAATTCACATTTTCATTACAAAAATCCATACTAACAATAAGGCAAACATTTGACGGGAATATACAAATTTTTTAATAATTAAGTCATACTAAAACTCATTAGATGAAAAAATACCATTTTCAAAGTAGATGAACAGATTATAAAACGAAGAAAATTGAATAATTTTTTAAGTTTTCCAAACAAAACTTTTAAAGAACATTTTTGGCCTTGAAACTCATAATTTGAGTGCAGAAGAGAAAACTTTTCAAGAGTCTGAAAGCTTGAACGGTTCGCGAGGCACCAAAAAGGGGTGTTGGTCGCAAGAGTACGAGGGGTCGTTTTAAAGGAGCTATTTGAATTCCGTTATGACGTAATGCCAAAAGTTGGTCGCGCTTCCTAGTATGTTCTTGACGTGGTCCAATGGTATGGGGGAAACTTTACGACCTCCGCTTTATAATGCCAATGAATAAATTATATCGATCGACGCGCGAAGAAAATGGTGGTTGCTCTTGCGAAGAACGAAAATGTTGCGAGGTCTTCTTCTTCTTCTTCTTAAGATCGAAAATTCATTTTTCTCCTTGACTTCGGTTTGATGAAACAAAATCACCACTGAAAGCGGTGTTTACTTTTTCACAAAGCTCATCGACATGAAAAAAATGAAATTAATTTTTTTACACAAGGAGCTAAATTTAAAAAAAATACAATTTATATTCTTTCGAAATTTGTAAAATTGGATTTCCTTTTAATTGAATTTTAAAAAAGTACAAAACAAGGAGAAAATTCATTAAAAAAAGTAAATGTCTCATTATCTATCGATTTTCAATGAATTATTCTCTTTAATCGGGAACAATTCAGTGGTGAAAATATCGACATTTTCTGAGCATTGAACGAGTCACGAGTCTTATAATAGACTGCAAAATGACATTCGTTAAAGTAGTAATCAAAACTTTTTTTCTACCTTTGAAGCCCGTCGCAAAGAACTTGAAATACTCTATTAAAATCGTTTACTTGAGCGAAGAGGGGAGAAAAAGAGATACCTGGACACAGCGATGGAGTTCAAATAAAAAGGTAAAATAAAAACGTCAAACAAAAGTTTTAATTTCCCAAGTTTGTTGCACAGACATTTCAAGTATTTTCACGAGTGGTCTCATTATTTTTCTCTTTAAATGAATTCTCGTAGCGAGATTATTCACACTATATAAACATAAACTGTATAAGCAACTTTTGTTAAAAAAATTTACTTAATTCTAATTCATTAATGGATTGTAAAATTGTTTTTTATTTATTTTTTTCTTTAGCTTTTCATTGATAATGATAAAAAAGTATATTATAACTTGTACTTGTGTTTTCTTTTTGTTAAATTTTTTTTTCTATTTTTTTGTCTGGTAATTGAATTTCGGTTATATATTTTTTATCAGACCTGAGTTTTAAGGGCTTTTAAAAAATTTAACACTCCTCACAGGCAGAACTTCTGAGCAACTGCACACAACTTAATGGCCCTAAAGTCAACCCAGTGCTTTTATCTTAATTGAAGTGTATTTTTGCAATGGATTTTAAATTTGAAAAGAGAATTATTTTAAAGGAAAAAAAACAACTTACGAGGTTGTGGTGACAGCGAACGATCCGAGGCTGGTGGAGGTGGAAGTGCTCCTTCTGGTTTTGATACCAAGAGAACAACTCGATCTTGTGTTGCTTTCAATGTCGCGACAGCTTCTTCATGCGTTACATTCTCCAAATTTTTATCGCCCTGCTGAAAAAAATTGAATAATTTCCTGAATAATCTATTTCACTTTTAATCGTCGATTTAGAATTAAAAAAAAAGTAATTAACGTAATTGTTTTAATTAAGTTAATTTAAATCTTTGCTAAAAACAATCTAATTTAAATGAATTGTTCTTAAATGGCTAATTAATGATAAATAATTATAAATAAATTATTCTCTGGATCAATAAAAGGAAAAACAATTTTGAGAACAATAAAGGAAAATGAAAAATGTGACTGACCAATAAGGGCAGATTTGGTTCACTTTGTGAAACTGTCACTCGGCAACGTTATTTCTACGCGCCTCGTTGGAGAATTTAATTGAAACTTCGCTAACCTATTTCATCCCGTAAAATTCTCTATCTCTCTCTCCTCTTGAAACCTGCCCTGAACCCGTTAGAGGAAATTAAAGGCTCAGAATGCGATTGTGAGGTGATGCGACTCTTTCATTCACGAAAATGCTATACGGAAAATGGCTTAATTGCAGATTATGAAATTATCAACGTGGTTGTTGGCTCGTCAAATATTTACCTCACTAAAGATGAGAGTCACATTTCACAATGTCAAAAAGTTCATATGTCAAAAATAATATCGAAATACCAAAACGTCTATTGTTAATTAAATACCTTTCTCTACTCTCAAAGTCACAAATTTAAATTTGGAAAAATAATTTATAATAAAACAGGAAATTGTTTTAAAATAAAGTTAGAGAATATTTCTTTTTCAAAATAGTTTATATAATAATATATATATTTTGATTTGAACATTTTGACGAAGTTTGCATCTCGAAACATATGGCGGAACATTTCAAGTTAAATCGAGTCTCAATTGAACTTTTACCACGCGGCATTTCTCGATACTCCTTTTTGAGGTCACGTACCTTGCAGCATTTACAAGAGGGCTAAAACTAGATTCTGAACCGCAAGAAAAGTTCGATGCAAGTGACAAGATATCGAAAAACTTCTGATACTTAGTAAAACCCTGCGAGCAAAACGAAATTTATAATCGCGAAACTTTCCTTGATAAAACTGCTTTTTTCAAACATTTAATTTAGAATATTACATTTTAAAAAAATCTAATAAAAACCATTCAATATTTTTTTTAATAAAAAAGAAAAAATCCAAAGGCGTACAAATAGTATAACGAAACTAAAAAAATACTGCTTGTCGAAAGAGAGTTGTACATTTTTTAAAAGCATAATATATGAATGTAAGAAGCAACACAAAAATGGCATTTTTCATTTGATAAATTAAGAATTTAAGACATTGATTTTCATCTCAGGAATATTTCTTTTCAAAATATAGAATCGAACAAGTTCTTGAGGTTCTAGGATTTTTATTCTTTTTCCTTGTCACAGCATTGCCGATTAATGAGAGGTCGAGGTGGTCGCAAGACTGACGGCCACTACTTAGAAGGAATCACCGGAAACGAAGGCTGATAATAATGGATGAGGTGGGAAACGAATCGCTCGTCAGAAAACAAAAGGAGAAACTCTGAGGATTTCTGTTAGTAATGTTTGAGCCAAACTCTCAGTGCCACAAACCCTCGAGGTACTCGATTTTCTGCAGGACTCTCCCTCTCTCTCTCTCTCTCTCTTTCTATTTCTCACGACTCAGAAAATGTTCTCATCGAGTAAAAGAATAACTGCCCCTAACCATCTCTCTATTATCGACAGATCCTTCCAATTTTCCAATGTTTCTCGGTTCAAAATATCAAAACAAAAATGAAAACAATTGAAAATTGTATCGTTCTCCCAAAAAATTAAATTAAAAAAGGAAAAATGTCAATAAAATAGGTAATAAAATGTCTTTCTTAATTTTCAAATCCATATTTGGAAATAAGCAATTAATTAATTGATTTATATTTTTGCTGTTAATAATTTGAAGGAAATTAAAATGTTTTTTTTTAATATAATATATATTTTGTGAAAGACATTTTGGAGGCGGGGAAAAGAAATTTATTTCTGGTTGAATTTGGACGTGGAGAAGTGGTATCACTGACGAAAGAGCTATCAATTACTTGAAACCCTCACTTTTCGCGCCCTAATCTACTTCTCTTATTCGTATTTAACCATCCATTTGAGGTGAATGTAGAACCCAAAACTCTTCATTTTCCAGGGGCTTTCTCTATCACAATGACAATGAAAAATGATCACGACTTCACTTTTTCTCGGATGTAACATTTTTACGTCTGATGATTACAATCATCGACATTTTTACCGTCTACTTCATTTTATAATCAAATAAATTTCAAATTCTTGCTACTACTTTTTTATGATTACTGAGATCCTAAAAATATACTTTACGACGAAAGTTTAAAACACTTTTTTTTATTCTTCTACTTTTAATAACTATTTTACAATAACTTCTTTTTAATAACAGCTATTTGCTTACTCTTATAATGTAAGTTCTCATTAACTTCCCTTTAATACCACTTTATGGATTATTTTTAATTACTTCTTAAAAAATATGCATTCAAATTCACTTAATGTATTAAAAAAAATTTAGTTTTTTTCGTTAAATTCTAAGTTAATTAAAAGCAGAATTATGTTTATCTGATTTTGTGATAATTTTTTTTCTTTTTAATATTGTGTAATTTTTCTATAATACCAGTTGATAAATGTCAAACGATTGAAATAATGTTCCAGCGAGTTTCGTTTATATTACGAAGATTTACAACAAATCATGAAAACTTTTTCTTCAACATTACACCCAACATCGTTAACATAAAACTCAGAGCGTCCGGTGAGAGTGATAACGGGAAAGTCTAACGCTACGACTTGCTACGAGAAAATGTGAACAACTATCCGATGTGCGTAGATAAATAAAAGAGACGAGTCACTAGAATTTTTATAGCCCAATAAAAAGCCAACTTCCTTTAAACTATTTCAACGTTTAAGCGCAACTAGAGTACACAATTTTTCAGTTTTAGTTGTTAATTTGTTTCTTAAAAATAATATTATATAAACTCGATTAAAAATTTTTTTTTTAATGAAAAAATTTCTCACCAAGGCGTTTCTAACGGCGACCAACTTGTCGCCAACAATAAGTCTTCCATCTACCTGAGCAGCTCCACCCTCCATAATTTTTGTGACATAAATGCCATTGTCTCCGGGGATGTGTTGATTTCCGATGCCACCTGCGATACTAAATCCTAATCCTTTGTTGCCCTTAATCAATTCTATTTCCATTAATTGCGTGTGCCTTCGTCGCCGGACATACTACAAAACACAAAAAAAATAATCATTTTCAACTAACAAATTACAAATATTTTTATTATCATCTAATTTAGAATTTCTATTTTTTTGTAAAATAACTTTTTTTTATGTATGTAATTGGTGCAATAACGTATTTCGAGCCAGATTTTTCAAGACTTCACCAACTGATAGAAAAGCAATTGAGGAAAGAAGCACCAAGACGTTCCAAGTGGTTTTAAGACTATTTACTCAGGTGACGGAGCAAGGTTTTAAGTCGGAAATGAAAAGCGAAGATAGAAGTTAGAAAAATACGTTTAAAATCAAGCGACCAATTACATGGAAAAGTATCCAAAATAAATCTATATAAATATTTGATTATCTAGTGTTTATATTTCTTTAATTCATTTATTTTATTTCTAAAAAGAAAAAAAAATTAAAATTCAACTATTTTTTCAATCTTGTAGAGAAGAATTTTGTAAGTTATAAAATATTAATAAGAATGTATAAGAAATTTAAAACAATATTTGCTCTTTGATTAAAATATTTTCACGTTTTTGTCGTCGGCGTTTAAATTAAAAAAATATATACAAAAATCTAACGCATTTAATATATAAAAAAAAATTGAGATTGCAACAATATAAAGTTGGAATTTCTCATGTTTCTATTAATATTGAAATATTTTTATATATAAAAAAAGAGTTTTAGAAGAGAAAAAAAAGAGGAAGAAGACAATTTACTTTGCTTGTTATTTATCTAAAGAACAAAAAATGAAGTAAATTCTCTTTTATTCAAACAATAAGTCGGTGTAGTTTTCATTTTTTAATATCTCTCTTTCGGAAACAAGAACTAAATTGAAAAATTCCTGACAAAACTATTTGTCATAAAATAGAAAAATCTGAAACCATGACACAAATATATTCACAAAGTTTTAAAGTTTTTGTTTTCAAAAACAAAAATACTGCAAATTTTTTTACTTTATTAACTAAATATAATTAATTAGATTTTTATACTCTTTATGGGGTAAAACAATTTTTTATATTTTTTATTAATTTTTCTAATTAAAATTATTTTATTTACAATTTAATTATTATCAATCTTAATACCTAATAAAAGTTGATAAATTTGGAGGTTATTTTGACCAAAATTTAAAATTTTTACAAAATAACCTCTAAATTATAAATGATTTTTTTCAATATTAAAAAAAAAGTTCACAAATATATGTATTTGAATGATAATATATAGTTTCAATTATATGTTTTTACAATAAACTTTTTCTTTAGACACTCACCAATTTGACGGTATTTCCGGCTCGCTTGAGGGCGTCGACAGCGGCTGCATGAAGAACATCAACAACGGTCACATCGTTCACCTGGAGTATCGTGTCGTTAACGCGAAGACGACCGTCGGCTGATGCAGCTCCACCCGGGATAAGTTTGGTAATGTAAATGGCAGAGTCATTTCCAAAGTGTGGATTATCAGTGCCACCAGCAATACTAAATCCAAGTCCGGCGCTACCTCTCTCGAGAACGATCTCCTCGTATTCCCAGTCGTCATCTCCATTGACCTGGAAAACGACAGAACAACCTCGTTATTCCTCTTAAGTGCCTCGCAATATTCCCAGTCAAATAAACGTCTGGCAAATATATACTGTTTTCATGATTGAACGCCTTTTACAAATCATTACCTTACCCCCTTAAAATACTCAATTTCATTTCAAATGCTATACTCAGGCAAAATTATTATTATTTCAGATTACTGTCTTTTAATTCAGGCGTGTATTTATATATATATATATACTGTAAAACAAATAATATAGATATAATTATCACAACTTCTTTTCACAATTAACCGTTATTAAAAAACAGGGTTGGGTAGCAATTTTCCTACTCTTATGTTAAATTTACGGTGGTGGGGGAAGTTTATAAACTTGTCCAGCAATTGTAGAGCGCGCTTAAGTTGGAAAACAATTGATTCGTTTCGATATATCGATTTGATGCGTTGAGAACGCACCTTATTATTTCTCCTCCTTGGCGGATTCGCGCGCGCAAAATGACATAAGAAGATATTGTTGATAGTGAAAGTGCAAAGTGTTTGTTAATTCTATTGTAATCTGTAGTTTATCCGTATTTCCTAAGCAGTGTTATATGATTTTTTTTCTTTATTTATTTATTTTCTTAATTCGTGTCGTGTTTTTTCCAAGTGAAGTAAGAATTAAACGTTTATAACTCTCAATTGATTATACAAATATGTAAGTTTTTGAAGTCGTTTTACGTATCGTTAAAATCGGTGTTTTGATTCTTATATCGTGCGAGTAAAGTTACATTCGAGAATTTATTACGTACGCTAATGTAATAGTAATTCGTAAATATATATGTGTATGTGCAATTATGGAGGAGAGCAGTCTTGGCGGTTATCTTCCCTTCGACGATGGAAATTAGCGATCGGTGAGTTTATTTTTTCTATTTTATGAATTATTGGCAAAATTTTGTGTTTAGTACCTATGATTAAAAAAACGCTTAACGAAGAAAACATCCCAAATGAGAGAATTCTGAGAAAATAATATCTGGCGAAATGTTATTTAAGTTTCTTGAGTAAAGTTGTCATTCGAGTGTCTCTGTATATATATATATATATATGAACAAATCTCAGTGTTCAGTGAAACGTTTTGGAGGGGGATTTAGTGTATATGGGATAGATAGGATACAATACGACGCCAACGTAAGATGAACGTTTCCAAGGAAGTTTTAGAGAGAATGTGCTTGGAAAATTGTTTACGACAACAAAAGATGAGACGCTTCGGGATTTGACGTCCATTAGGAAAGAAAACCGAAGCGAAACGTAGCTAGAAAACTTAATGAACCAAGATTTTTCTTTTATTATAACCCCGTGATTTTATATATAGAGACTTTTTTGCCGTTCAAATGAAAGACGTTTTCATTAAAACTATACATTTATAAATGAACTACAGATCTGGAAATTTATTTTCTTAATGAAATTTAATTAAATACTTTATAGACTTCTTTTAATTTACAATAAAGATTTTCCAATATGGAATTCTTTTGAGAAAGGTAGAGAAAAAGTTTATATAAATTTGTATTATAACGTTCATCTATAGGAAATGAAAAAATTTAATTTGTTTAATTAAAATTATAAAATCAGTAATTAGTGACATTTTAATTATCAGTTTTACTAAAATTTAGTTTAAATTTTAGAGTATAATTTCAAGTGTTATCAATTAAATGCGATTTTTCAAAGTTTTAATTCAATTATTTGATCTATGCTTTTGATGTTAATGAATTAAATGCAGAATATTAGGTTATATCTCATGATAATTTAACAACAGAATAATACATTAAGTTATTAAGCTAATATGGGCCACGAGCTAACCAACTCAATCTGATGCTTGTTACGGAACTCCAAATCAATTAACTATAACTAGTCCCTTATGTAATTAGGCTCGTCTCTGCCTTGAATTACACGATTTTATAATAATTCGACTACCATTAAAATAGAATATTAATTATTTCTAATCAAAAAGTTTAATTTCATTTTAAACTTATATAACAATTTTCTTATATATCAATTATTGGATAACTTTTTTCAAAATTTAGATTAAGTATTAAATTACACTCAATTAAGTACTAGAGTTAATTAAACTACATTCACATTATTGATCGATTAGCCTATTACGGATTACAAATTCGTTCAGTCAAAAAACAGTTCGATTGAAACAATTCTATATATTTTGTTCAATTCAAAAATAAGGTTTAATTAGTAAACTTTTGTTTAATTAATTAATTTGATGGAAACAAATTTCGCTTAACATGATCAAAAATAAAATAAGTTAATATAAGAAGATAAAACCTTTTTCATAAAAAAAGTTTATCATTTCGTTGTAAAAATAATTGTGGAAGGGGGAGGAAACTTTTTTTTAAATTTTGTCGATAAGTTTCGAGTAAAGCGGAATTTTTTTTTTGAAATACAACACATATATATATATATATATATATATATAGTTTTGTCATGGCTAGAGTTTGAATATGTCATCAAGACGTAGAGAGAATGAAATTTTATAGAAAGAGGAAATAAAGTGGCGCCACGGATCACTCATCCTAAATCTAAAATGTTGTTTGAGAAAGAACCTAAGTCGGAAATCGAGTCTTGTAAAGGAGAATCAACTAGGATAATTTCCGGTCGTTGCGTTTCCATCGTAAAACTATCGTAGAATCGATTACTCGGGTAATCGATTTTTAAACAAAAAACCTCTCGTTTTTATTTCAATTCTCGATATAAATTGAATTTTGAATGACATACTTATATGAATTTTAAAAATTCAACAATAATGTTTACTTTATTATTTATTCACTGAAAAAACATTATTTAATTTAAGTAATCGATTACTTGACTATTATCAAAGTAATATTTAATTGTATTAAATAATTATTATATGAGTAATAATATAATTATAATAATAAAAATAAGGTCCAAAAATCGGACAAGTGTGAGTTACACTCGTATTAAAACCGAGGGTTCCGTACCCTTAAATCTTAAATTTGAGGGGGTTAAAGTGTGAAGGCCGTTGGAAAAATCCCAATAAATATTTTTTTAATAATAGCCGCAAGATATCGATTATTTGAACCAAATAAATTATTATGATTATTATTAATCAGGGAAACTTTTCATTTAAAAAATAAGTTTTTCCATGGTTTTTTTTGTTTGATTTTAATCTTAAATCCCTGGAAGTTAATTGAACATGAAGTTAACTATATATAAAATGGGGTGGTAGGGGATGAAGGAAAGGTGTTTGCCTTTTGGTAAATGGCAGTTCACAGTCATGAATTTATTAATCTTGGTGGGATAGAAGATAGGCTATGTGAAAATTTACAGCCCTCGTAAATGTGTAATTAAATTTAAACGCTTTCAAAGAGACTCAAAATGTACCTCGTCCTTTATTAATAGTACCTTAATCTCCACGGGCAAGAATCTCTTGAATGATTTTGTTCCTTGTATACTTTACGAGACTGAGATTTTTAAGAAAGACTTAAAACAGCAGTAAACCCTTAATTTTATATTAGAATTAAATTTCCACGTTTTTATTAAAAAAAAATTAATTTTTTCCGAATGGAAAATATATTTTTTTCAATCGTTGATCATGAACGTGAACTTTGCCGATGTAAAATGAATTGAATTGGTAATTTTTTTTATTTTTACAAAATGTATACTTGTTATAAATATATGAATATAGGTAGATATAGGAAAGACGAAAAATAAGAGTAGAAGCGGTTACAATGGAAGCCAAATGAAATTGCATTGGTCTTTAGGAATGCAGACACTAATGTTACGTACGCGTTTCCCATTATAGCATTTGAAGGTATGCACATCCCGATGGGCGTGACGGGTGAGAGTACGCATATGCAATTTAGGGTGGTGTGGGAGGAAGTGGTAGAGGAGATTTGCAGCACGCATCACGTTCCCTTACACATTATATATGTGTATGTAGTGCGTATATACGGGGTGTCTCTCTCTGTTCAGAAATATTAGTTGGCTTTATCAACCCGATTGCAGTTGTAGATTTATATACACCCTGTATGAAATGTCGAATTAATAATCGAGATTTACCATTCTATGAGGTCCATTCGCCATCCTAGTAATCATAGTCGAATTATCGTCCAGGGCTCACGCACATTAATCCATTCATTACAATCTGATTAGCATTCAATTTGACATTTGATTAACTATTTTGTTCAGTCGATACGGTTTTTTCCCTCTTCCTTTCACCTTTTATCCAAGATTCTTGTAAAAATTTTAGCAGTCTAAATTATTATTTTTTCAATCCTAGGGAGTAAAATAGTTCTTTTTAGCACTAGGACGTGAAAGTTTTTTTTACATGTAATTGAAGTTAAAATTTGTTCACTTGAGAAATAAGAAACGGGAATAGAATTCTTAGATGGAAGCGACAGTAGATAAGGTCGTGCTTTGCCCAGACCGCACTACTCGAAGCACGTGTTAACATCGACTAGTCGCGCACAGTTGATGAAAAACGCGGAAGACTATATGCCGTTCCTGACTACTGACGTAGTGCCAAGGTCAGTGTCAGAAACACTTTTTCAAATTGACACTTTATTACGTCAAAATAGTCCCTCTCGCGTATTACATTTATATATACTACGTCTTTCAACACTTTTTTTCTCAACATTGAAAATTAAATCCCCCAACTTATTTTAATATTTTATTTTTACACCTCTTGTTAAATTCTACAATTTCTGTTAAATTCACAACTACTACACAGAATGAAAATTTTTATATTATTATTATCATTTTTGTATTATTGATTTGTATTAAATTTGACGGGAATTGTTTTCGCGCGCGTAGATCTTTGCGCGTTACCAGCACGAACTACTCGTTTCGTGTGAGAGAGAGAGTCATCGCCTATTATAATATTAGACTGGTCGCAGTCTATTTTTGACTAACTATGAAAATATATACTTGGACATGAGTTCGTGGCTGAAATAATCCCGACCGCATTCGTGTGGTCAGTCACCGAGAAATTTGTCGAAAGTGATA